CAGAGCTCCAGGGCAGGGCTCCGCAGACCCACCAGCCACACTAGGCCGTCCTCCAGGCCGCACCTTGCCAAGCGCAGGCTCCGGCCGCTGAGAGCTGTAGCCGGGAAGGCCTTTTCCAGACTTCACAGAAGAACAATGGAAAAACTGGGCAAGATCGCTGCAAAGGAAAAACATGTGTGTGTTGGGGGGCGGGGGGCAGGAGGAGAAAGCAAAGTAAAATGGAGAAGAAAGAAAAAAGAAATAGAGAAAGAAAAGGAAGGAGGAAGGAAAAATTAGAAAAGAGAAGGAAAAATGAAGAAGAAAAAGCAAACAAAGAGAAAAATGGTGTAAGTGAGATGAGAGACAGAGAAAAGTACCAAATGAAAAATGAAGAGAGAGCAACGGGTGGGTGGTGACGCCAAAAAGTGAGCAATAACAAGAAAAGGAAATAAGAAAGAGCACACAAAAAGCAAGATGACTGAAATGGAAGGAAAGAAGGCGGCGAGAAAAACACAAATATAAAAAGAAAAGAAGATACCAAGACTAAAGACAGTGGAGAGAAAAGATGAAAAGAAGGAAAGAAAAGAGCACACCTCAATTAGTCCATTTTCATAACACCGCGAGAAGCCGGGCGACCCCAAGCAGTTCAGCCAGACCCGCGCGGCCGGCGGGACCGCAGAGCCCCACCTTTCGGGAGCGGGGCGCGTGGCGCTGCGGAGAAATCCTCTTTATTCATCGCGGCCGACCGGAGCGCCGCCATCGTCGCCGCCACAGAGGTTGCTCCAGCTGAGAGAACGAAGGCAGCGGGCGCTCACCAAAACCAAAAACAGAGTTTAGCAAAAGCCCCCAAGTGCAGCGGGTGGGCGCCTCCCGCCCCCACCTCTCGTTGGCGGGTCCCTAGCCCGGGCGGGGGCGGGAGCTGACACGGAGGTGCCAAGTCCCCGTCGCCGGAACCCCCGGGGGCTCGGCGGCCGCGCTCAAAGGCCGGGCTGTAAAGGTCACAGGCGGTCTGTGGGGCCGAGCTGAATGGGCTCCCGGAGGTAAACAGACTCTTAACTTTCAACTTGGCCTTGACCTTCCTGGAGGTGTCTGGCGGGTATGTAAAGGAGCACGCTGAGGCTTTCAGCGCCTTTGGCTGGGTCAGTAAAGAAGACTGGGGGAGGCTCCGGGTTCCCCGAGGGTCTGCAAGGAGGCTCCCAGCAGGACACAAAGGCATCTGTGGGGCTGGGGGAGGGGCAGGTTCAGCCCAGTCTGTCCGGGAGATCCGGACGCCTGGGTTGTGCAGGGACTTCTCCGCTGAATTAATGTAAAGCCCCAGGGAGACTTTCGGGTTCTGAGCCCCAGGTTCCCTATGGGAGAACTATGCCGCTTATACAGGGCTGAGGGGGCAAGTGAGAAGTGACCGGCACGCTTTAGGACAATTGTCCTTTTCAGCAGGTGGCTTGTAATTCATTAGAAACAGATACACATAGGGGAATACAAATAGAGCTCATATTTATTCTGACTGTGAAATGCTTTCATGTGCAAAATCTCATTATAGCATCACAGTATTTTTGTGAGGTAAGAAGTATTATCCACATTTTACAGATAAAGAAACTTAATTTTACTTTACCTGACGCCAGTTGAGGTCTATGATAGGTCACAGGCAGATGCACATACATACCTATGTGCAGGAAATAGGAACGCATACCCAAGTGCTTGCTAATAAATATAAGATCCTAGGCCAGGTGTGGTGGCTCATGCCTGTAATCCCAGCACTTTGGGAGGCCAAGGCAGGGGGATCACTCGAGGCCAGGAGTTCGAAACTAGTCTGACCAACACAGCAAAAACCCATCTCTACTAAAAAGATTAAAAAAAAATAGCTGGGCCATGGTGGCACACACCTGTAATTCCAGCTACTCTGAAGGCTGAGGCATGAGAATCACTTGAACCCAGGAGATGGAGGTGGCAGTGGGCTGAGATTGTGCCACTGCACTCTATCCTGGGTGACAGAGTGAGACCCTGTCTTAAAATAAAATAAAATAAAATAAAATAAAAATGAGACCCAGAACTGTTCCCTGTGATCTGGCAGATGCTAAATAAAATTGTAAAGCAAATGAAACAAGCACCGTGTAATTTATTTGTATTGAAATGCATGTTCACAGGTCTCCCTCACAGCTGGTGACCGTCTCCCCACTTCCCCCAAGTTTAAGTTGACCATCTTCGCATTCCGAAACACTGCAGTTACATGCGCTTAGCCACTTATTTCAATGAACATGGATAAGAACACTATATATCCAAAAGAACAGTTTCAGGAAGTGTTGCAATGAATTAAAATTTTTGTTTTTAATTGTTTTTTTTTCTTAAAATTTGAGATATAGCTGATATACAATAAACTGCAGAAATCCCAAGTGTACGGCTTGATGAATTTTCAAGGTGAGCCAAGTCTTGTAACTAGCATCCAAATTGAGATGGAGAATATTTCTAGCACCCCAGAAGGCTTCTTTATGTCCTTTGCCAGTCAGGAGACCTCTCCCCATGGCAATCTCTATTCTGACCTCTATCACTATGTCATAATTTTGCTTGTCCTTGCACTGTATGGAAATGTAGAAATTGAATCATACAAAAGCTACTCTTTTGTGTCTGGCTTTTTCATCCACATATCTGTGATTCATCAATGTTGTGTGTAGTAGTTGTTTATTCTTTTTCAAATGGCCATGTAGTACTTCATTGTTTAATTGTAGCATGCTTTCTTTACTCACACTACTGTTGATAGACATTTGGGTTGTTTCTAGTTTTGAGCTAAGCTACTATGTTTTGGTTTCGTTTTGAGATGGAGTATCCCTATTATCCCTATGTTGCTCAGGTTGGTCTTTTTTTTTTTTTTTTTTTTTTTTTTTTTTTTAGACAAGTCTTGCTCTGTCACCCAGGCTGGAGTGCAGGGGTGCAATCTCGGCTCACTGCAACCTCCGCCTTCCAAGTTCAAGCGATTCTCCTACGTCAGCCTCCCGAGTAGCTGGGATTACAGGTGCCCACCATCACACTTGGCTTTTTTTTAATTTTAATTTTTAGTAGAGACGGGGGTTTCACCATGTTGGCCAGGCTGGTCTCGAACTCCTGACCTCAAGTGATCTGCCCCCCTTGGCCTCCCACAGTGCTGGAATTACAGACCTGAGCCACCGCACCTGGCCCCAGGCTAGTCTTGAACATCCGGGCTCAAGGGATCCTGCCACCTCTGCTAGGATTAGTAGCTAGGATCACAGGCATGCGCTGCCATGGGTGGCTTTGAGCACCTATGGATAAAGGTGCTGTGGACCTACAAGTACATGCCTTTTGATGGGTATAAGCATTCATTTCTGTTGGGTTTATGCCCAGAAATGGAATTACTGGGTCATAGGGCATGACTATGATTATTATTTTTTTAAATTTAGGGATCTATTAATGCCTCTACTATACAAGCATGAATAAATGTGTGTGTGTGTGTTTGCCTAGTGGAAGCTAAAACTGTGGACATGCCCTATGTATCTATCATCTACCAAGTAAAAACTGGTGAAAAATTCTTAGTCTTTAGGTAAAAATCTGGATATTTCTGCAGTTCATAATTAGACAAGCAAGAAACTCTGGTGAGAAACTGTAAAGCACTGAAGAGACATTTCCTCCCTTTGCTTCCATACTGTTTTTAAATGCAATAAAATATAGTGAAGAGTTTGTGCTTGGTGTCTTCAATTGTCGCAATGTTCATTAGGAGTGATGTACACTACAGTCTATGGGCCTTTTCCCACAAACTGGCTCAAGTTCAAGGTCAGGTTGGTGACAGGCTATGATTAAGCCCACACAGTGTTTAGGGTAATCCATTCTATATAATTGCCAAGACCCTCGTGTAGAATGGAAAATTTTCTGTCTTCTTCAGAAAAACTGGGAGTTCTAGAAAAAGCAGACAGAGGGATTTAATTTGGGAGGGGTAGTAAAGGAAGCAGAAAACCACTAAGATTTGTGAAACAAACTGTTTGATTCTTCTGAATTGCACTGCGCAATAGGCCCCAATAGAGGGGCCTCAAGCAATTCTGCCAGTGGTTGGGGCTTCCCCTCCCATTCCCTTTTCCTTCTAAGGAAGTTTAAAGCTTGGAGGAGGCAGATAGGGGTCTTGGGCTTTCTGGTCACTCAGCTTGGGTGGGAGTGTGCCAGCATCAGGGAGAGTTTCCTGGGCCCCGAGCAGACCCTCAGGAGAGGACTGCAGGGCAGGGAGACCGCCATCCCCACACAGGCGTCTGTACTCTTGGGGTCCAGAACTCCCACAGCTGGTTTCTGGCAGTCAGCCAGGCCTGGCTTCCTCAGACTTCTTACATCCCCAAAAAGCGGGGGAAAGTGACTCTTTTTTCTTTCTCTTTTCCGACTGGCATTTCGGGATTTTATAAGATTTTGTCCCATCCCCTCTGTCAACTTCTTTCCCTCTTTGTGTTGCTCCTCCTGGGTCTCACCTCTCCCTCTCCCAGTCCCCCTTCAAGTCCTGTGGGTCTCTGTCCCTCCGTGCGTCTTTCCCCGCACTTAAAGGGAAACCCAGATCCTTTAACGGGCCACTCTAGAGGCTCCATTTCCCCTTCGGGTCCAGACGTGGAGTGTCCTGGGCTCCATCCAGATGGCGCGTCTTCTACGTTTGCATTCGTGTCTCTGGCCTCCTCCCTCAGCCTCACCCGAATCAGGGCCTCCAGAGCATTCTGGGCAGTAGCGGGTCCCTGGGCAAGGAGCGTCCCGGGCACCTCCTTGGGGGCCGGAGCAGCTCATTCCAGGACATCTGGGACAGGAAAGGTACCGGGAATGAACCGGGGTGCTAGTACCCAGGACCAAAAGCCAGGGGCTGCCAGAAATACCCATTAACTCGCAATTCCCAGCCTCCTCTTAAACAGGCTCATTCCCGGGTTCTCCTTTGAGACCGGGAGCGGCCTCCCAGCCCCATCCCCGACTCCCCCTCCCCCCTCAGGAGATGGACACTTTATAGGGAGAGCTTTTTATTCTCTCTTTAAACCTGCCAAAGCGCAGGAGACGGAGAGCCGGGGAGGGAGAGGAGAAGGAGGTGGGGCCCGGCCCCTCGTCCCCTCTCCCTCCGCCCACCACGCCTCCCCTCCCCCCGGACGTGGAACTGGGACTCTGCAAACTGGAAAGCAGCGAAAGGACACCTCCTTCCTTTTCTCTCGTGTTGTTTTTAAGAGCAATGAGAGAGACATTGGTATGAGAGAAGAGTGGAGAGGGAAAAGAAGAGAGAAAGGGAGAAAAGAGAGACAGGAGAGAGAGAAAGAGCAAGAGAGAGAGAAACAGAGAAAGAAAAAATAGGCTGGGATAAAGTATTTCAGCAGTTTCTGCCTTTGGGGTTTTATTAGCTTCTCGCCCCCAGGCCGCGGCCAATCAGCGCGCGTGCCCGGGCCCTGCGTCTCTTGCGTCAGGACGGCCGTGCTGAGCGAATGCAGCGCCCTGCGAGCTAGGAGCGATTTAAAACGCTTTGGATTCCCCGGGCCTGGGTGGGGAGAGCGAGCTGGGTGCCCCCTAGATTCCCCACCCCTGCACCCCATGAGCCGACCCTCGGCTCCATGGAGCCCGGCAATTATGCCACCTTGGACGGAGCCAAGGATATCGAAGGCTTGCTGGGAGCGGGAGGGGGGCGGAATCTGGTCGCCCACTCCCCTCTGACCAGCCACCCAGCGGCGCCTACGCTGATGCCTGCCGTCAACTATGCCCCTTTGGATCTGCCAGGCTCTGCGGAGCCGCCAAAGCAATGCCACCCATGCTCCGGGGTGCCGCAGCGGGCGTCTCCAGCTCCCGTGCCTTATGGCTACTTTGGAGGCGGGTACTACTCCTGCCGAGTGTCCCGGAGCTCGCTGAAACCCTGTGCCCAGGCGGCCACCCTGGCTGCCTACCCTGCGGAGACTCCCACGGCTGGGGAAGAGTACCCCAGCCGCCCCACTGAGTTTGCCTTCTATCCGGGATACCCGGGAACCTACCAGCCTATGGCCAGTTACCTGGACGTGTCTGTGGTGCAGACCCTGGGTGCTCCTGGGGAGCCGCGACATGAATCCCTGTTGCCCGTGGACAGTTACCAGTCCTGGGCCCTCGCCGGTGGCTGGAACAGCCAGATGTGTTGCCAGGGAGAACAGAACCCACCAGGTCCCTTCTGGAAGGCAGCATTTACAGGTAATCTCTATTGCTCTGGGTTCCCTTGCCTCTGAGCCTGGGTTTGTGGATCCCACTGGCACTTCCCTGGGAGGAGGAGGAGGGAGACTTGGGGCTGGTGAGGATGAACTTGGTGCTCCTCCCTTGGTTATTAGGACTCTGAGGGAGGGTTTGGCAGCTGGAATGCCTGGATGGAGTCAATGTGAGGGGCCTGAGCTGGGTGCCATCTGAAGCCTGAGGGCCACCTCACTTCTCCGGGAGACCCTGGGACCAGCCTTTCAATACGTCTGGGAGGTTTGGATCTCTTTGCTGTTGAGTAGGGATCAGGGTGTCCCTACCCAGCACAATTCTGGACTAATTCTACACAAAGGCTAAATAACTCTCAATTCGGTGAGTGGGGAGTGGATGTGGGAGATGCTAAAAAGGTATTGGGTGTTCTGTAGAGAATATAACCCGTCACTTTCTATTAGATGAGTTTTCCAATTTCTAAAGAAAAATTTAGGTTTCCTGCAGCCATGACATAGGTGTGTGCATTGGAATGGGTGAGAGAGAGAGTGTATGTGTGTGTGTGTGTGTGCACACGCGCGTGTGTATGCGCATGTATTGGGAGTGGGGACAGAAATGTGTTTCCAGAATTTGCCTGTAGAATCTACAAGAGTGGCCAAGAGTCTGGAAATGCATGAAGAGTGGACACGTGATGGTGGGCAAAGGCCTGTGTGTGGTGTGTGGGTGTGTTTGCAGACTCTCGGGTGTGAGAGCCATGATGGGTGAAGGTGGCCAGCAGGAGCCACGGCTGAGCGGTGGTGAGAGAATAAGCCAGAAGCTGGGTTGTCCTTGTGTGCTTTGGAGGAACAGGATCGAATGTACACCTGTAGGGTGACCTGGGTGCACCTGTGGGATGACTTAGTTTGGGGCTTGCAGGGCCTGGGTCTGCCTGGGTGGGGATCTGACCGTGCCTTTTTCTCCCTCCCTTTCCTGCTGCACAGACTCCAGCGGGCAGCACCCTCCTGACGCCTGCGCCTTTCGTCGCGGCCGCAAGAAACGCATTCCGTATAGCAAGGGGCAGTTGCGGGAGCTGGAGCGGGAGTATGCGGCAAGCAAGTTCATCACCAAGGACAAGAGGCGCAAGATCTCAGCTGCCACCAGCCTCTCGGAGCGCCAGATCACCATCTGGTTTCAGAACCGCCGGGTCAAAGAGAAGAAGGTTCTCGCCAAGGTGAAGAACAGCGCTACCCCTTGAGAGATCTTCCTGCCTGGGTGGGAGGAGGGAAAGCAGGGGTGTCCTGGGGAGAACAGGAACCTGTCAAGCCCAGGCTGGGGCCAAGGACTCTGCTGAGAGGCCTCTAGAGACAACATCCTTCCCAGGCCACTGGCTCCTGGACTGTTCCTTAGGAGTGGCCTGGGTACCCAGTATGTGCTGGAAGAGGGAAGCCCCATGTGACAGCCCATTCCACCAGGGTTCCCAAAGAACCTGTTGCAGTCATAATCATTCATCTTGACAGTGGCGATAATCACTATAACCAGTACTAGCTGCCATGATCGTTAGCCTCATATTTTCTATCTAGAGCTCTGTAGAGCACTTTAGAAACTGCTTCCATGACTTGAGCTGATTATGAATAAACTTGGAAGGCGATCCCTTTGCAGGGAAGCTTTCTCTCAGACCCCCTTCCGTTTACACCCCCCATGTTGGTACCAGCAGGAAGACTGAGGACAGGAGAAAGGGCAGGTTCGCTTGTGTGGCTGTGATGTCCATTTAGCATTTTTCTCGGATGACAGCTGGGCAGGTAGACAATTGTAGAGGCTGCCTCTTCCTCCCTCCTTGTCCACCCCATAGGTTGTACCCACTGGTCTCAGAAGTCCCCATCCTTAACTCTTAGATTTTCTCCCATCATGTGAAAATGAAGCGAGCAGGCTGCCCCTAGTCAGTCCTTCCTTCCAGAGAAAAAGCGGTCTGAGAAAATGCCTGGATAATTCACCATTCATTTCCTCCCCAAAACTCATCATTTTCCTTTAATATTTCTGGTGGTTCTGACCAAAGCAGGTCATGGTTTGTTGGGCATTTGGGAGCCCAGTGAAGTAGATGTTTGTGGCCTGGCATACTCAGCTCTCCCAGGCACAAACAGCAGTTGCAGAAAAAGAGTAGTGTTCTTTGCTACCCTCAGGCAGCCCCAGACAATAGGGCAGGAGAGAAAACCAGAAAATGGCCTCTTCACTACTCATTTTCTGCTCTGCCTCCCCCTGACATCCAGAGGAGCTTTCAGGCCAGGGAGAGGGGGCAGGCCCTTTTGCAGTTGAAAGAGCAGCCGTTGGTGGAAGAGCAAAGACCCAGGCCCAGGAACCCCAGGCTGCTGATGGGACAGTGGCTGTGGACTTCATTTCCTTTTCATTTTGTCCTGGCTCCCTCCAGTACCCTGAATCCCAGGTGGGTGGAGGGCAGAGTGGTGCTAACCCTGTTTTCCCCAGTCCACGTAGAAAGATACACAGTGCAGAATTATGGAAGCTGGAGACAGACGGGCTCTGAGACGGACATGGGGGCCTCTGCCCCTGTGCCCATTCTCTGATGTCGTGTACTTGGGCTCAGTGGCCGGTGGGACTCATTGCCGGAAAGCCAGCAGGTTCATGCTGGGCCTTCCTGTACCCTAGGCCAGGGGTGGGGGTCCTGCAGACACTTTCTTCACAATTGAGTGCACAAGCCCGAAGCCTGGAGAACGCGCAGAACCGAAGTTTAGAGCAGCAGGCCCGCAGCGAGCAGTCAGCGGTGGGCTGCGGCCGCCACTACCTCAGGGACCTTTCCCTCCCGATCCAGCTCTCCAAGAAACCCCGAGGCGGCCAAGGGATTCGAGTGTTTACGGCCTGCGGTCGGGTGGGATTCAGCTCCTCTCCCGGGAAGGAGTGAGGGTGGGAAGTGACTTAGACTCCTACAGATCTATTTACCAAAGAGGAGCCTGGACTGAGGGACATGGCCAAAGAGTGAGTGAATGGGGACTGGGGGGTCGGGGGAAGAGGACGAGGAGGAGGAAGAGGAGGTCGATTATCTGATTTAAAAAATCTTCCAAGCCCAGTTTAAGGGCTCGGTTACATGCACCGCTCAGAGGAGGTCACTTTCTGCCCTCCGCGTCCTCCTTCAAGCGAAGCCCATGTGGATAGCTTTTAATATCTCAGGTTCTTGCTCCTCTGTCTCTATAAGCCCAAACCGGACCAATGCTCAGGCAAGCAAACCCCTCCCTCGCCAACTTCGGAAGTGGAGAGTTCGGAACTTCGAGAGTTCAGTGTAGATGGGCCTGTGGGGGAGGGGGCGAGATAGATGAGGGGGAGCGGCGTGGTGTGGGGTGCCCCCTTGGAGAGAGGGAAAAGGCCACAAGAGGGGCTGCCATCTCCACTAACGAAGATGGCCCTGGTAGAGTTAGAGGTCTGGGACCTCTGCTATCAGGAACTTAAACTTAAGGCGCTTCTCTGTTTTTCGCTCGCAATAAATTCAGAGCAAACAAAAGATGTGGAATCTTAGATTTATTCCACCAGCGTGTTAGGATCATTAAAAAGACAAGGGCGCCCCCTCCCGGGAGAGGCTCGCCACTCCGGGAGAACCTGCGGGCAGGCTTTCAACCCCCGCGGAGCTACCTGCTTTCCGCAGCCTGGAGCCTCGGGGTACTGGGCTGCGTGTGGGGGCCTCAGGACCCGATGTCGCCTGCCATTCGGCCAGGGCATCGGGAGATGCATTGGTCCAGCCCCCAAGAGACCCAGGAAGAAGGCAAGGAGGTTCGGAACAAGCGATCTCTAATGGAAGAAGGAGGTCCGGCTCCGGGAGCCAGGCCGCGGCGCCATCCGCCCTCCGTCCTTGTCTTCGTTTGTAATATATTTATCTTCCACACCATAACAATTCGCGGTAGACGCCCCCCGACCTTTTTTTTTTCGATTTGTTTGTATAGAACCTGTGCGAAAAATACTTAATTTCGTTTTGTATTAAGCCCTTTTATTGAGAATCCCTACCCAAACAATTTTAGTCTCCCACCTATCCCTGACCCACCACATTGAAATCTCTCTCATTTGCGTTTAAATCACAACAAAATCCACACACCTACACTTGCCTGCAGCTATTTACTTTTAAATAAGGGCCATGTTAAGCTACAGGAGGAAATGTTATGCTTACCATTCGGACAAACGTGTGAACACATGTCACAATAGATGAATCCAGACAACATTGTCACAAATAAACGCAGAGGCACACACACATACTCCGGAAAACAAGCAGGGCGTCTTTTCACCAACAAGGCGCAATTGTACTCTGAGCTGCGTCCCAGACGTTTCCCCTCCCTCGGAGCCAAACACCACCTCCCGCAGCGAGTCTCTCGGCAGGCGGGGAAACAGGATCGGAGGGTCGCGTCTACGCGGGCTCCAGGCCCGAAATCACTTCCAACTCCAAAGCAGGTGGATTTCATTAGGCCTCCAGAAGTCAAATAAAGGAGTCGTGGCGAAATGCGTAAACACTACCTCCGGAAGCTCTTTTGAAATCTCGGTTCCAGCATCCGAAACGCAGAGAGCGAACCTGAGGCTCCATCTTTCGGGTTTTACTCCGGCTGAGGAGCGCTTCCGGGGACCCTGCAAGGCCGCCGCCGGCCGAGCATCCGCTCCGCCTTCTGCACGCGATCCCTACTCCAAGTAGTAGTTCCAGGGCCGGAAGCTGGAAAGCCCCCGAAGCAGGAAAAAGCCCAGTCCAGGCCCCCCAGTTCTCGGGAGCAGCTCCGGCTTTCCTCCCCCAACCCGAAGCAAACTTCTCTTCCCTGCAGCTCCCCTCCTCCCCTTCATTAAAGTTGTATTCAAGGTTCTAAGTGCTGTACTCTAGTTTTCCTTCAGGGGAGACTCTGTGACCCCCAGCCCCCAGAACCCCGCCCTGTCTAATAGAAACCTCGGAACTACAACCGCGAATTAAATAAATGAACTCGTTACCGTAAACTTGCAATAAAGCCCGGAGGCGACTGCTGCGGAGGGGGCAAAAGGAGGTTTCATTGTTTTTGAAGTTTATACCATTCTCACCCTCCCGAACAGTCGCCCTCCAGGAAAGAGGGGAGAAAGCTCTGGAGCGGCCCTGGGCCTCTCGCACACCAGCAGGACACCCCGCCCCTCCCCCCCAGGCGCTGGCCTGGGCCTGCGACAGATTTAAAACATCCAATGGGGAACCGCTGCCAGCCTTTCTTCCTCTCTCCCTACTAGTTAGTTCTGTGTAGAGGGGATGAAGGGGAGGGGACGAAGTAATCGGGGGGAGAGTGAAAGAAAGAATTCTGCTGTTACCCCTCTCCTCCCCTAAATTGCCCCCCAACTGGGAGGGTCACAGGGGGCAGCAAAAGAGTTTAATCGCCCTCAGAATAATGCTGGCGCCCAGCCTGGGGGGAGGGTCAGGGACTTTGTCATTGAACTTGAAGTTCCAGGCTGGTGGCCTCCACCACTCCCATCCCCACTTTCCTAAAAGTTTTATGGGAAGAGGGAGGAAGATGAGGGGAAGAGGGGATACCTCTGGCCTCGGGAAAGAGGGAGGAAACCAATCGGGGGAGGAAGGGCCACAGCAACCAGGAGCTCCAGGGGAGATTAGGAGGTTTGCTGGGAGTCCAGGAAGCCTGGGGCTGCTGGGAGGAAACGCTCCAGCCTTCGCCCGGACTTGTAGCTATGAGGTGGGGAGCTACCAACCGCAGGCCTTCTCACTGAGCCCCGCCCCAGACTCTACAGGAACAGGGGCATCCAGTGCTCTGCTCCCGTCCTTCCTCTCTCCACCTAAGGTGTGCTAGCAGAGAGCCCCTGGGAGGCTGAAACCTTCAGGCGGATGCCTGCCTGCCAGCTCAGGCAAGCTGGATTCTGATCCCCACCTTTGCAGAGAGAGCAGCGATGTTGTGCGCCCATTTCTCAGACCAAGGACCGGCCCATTTCACTACTTCCAAGAGTGCTTTTCTCTCTAATAAGGTAAACTAGCTGATCCGTGGGCCAAGGGCATTACCAGTGGATCTCTCAGTATGGTAGCTGCTTTAGGAGGCCCTGGAAGGGGTTCTCCCAGGAATTTGGGGGCCTTCAGAGGTTTTGGCAAACAAAGGAAGGGCGAGCAGTAGGTTCTCACCAATACCACCTGGCGGGAGCACCTCCTCACTGGTTCCTGGAGAGACCGGCAGCCAACCTGGGCAGAAAGGGAGTTTGCAGCTCGCAGGACCTGCAGGGCATGGGCAGGGGAGAGGCTTGGGGGTGGGAACTAGCACCCGATGTAAGGTCTCCCGCAAGACTTAATGTCTGTCTCCAATCGGATGGAGTCCTGGCAAAAGCAAAATTAATATCGTTAATATTATTATTATTGAAAAGCATAATATTTTACAAAACACCTACTTTGAAAGCTGGGCAAGACCAAGCGTGGTGGCTCAGCCTGTAATCCCAGAACTTTAGGAGGCCAAGGCAGGCAGATCCCTTGAGCCCAGGAGTTTGAGACCAGCCTGGGCAATGTAGCAAGACCCCTGTCTCTATTTATATAATAATTTTTTTTTTGTAAAAAGAAACTGGGTGAAAGTTAACAGTGATTTTAACTTTTTTTTTTTTCTAACTCATCCTTAAAGAAAAAACTCTGGCCCTTAAAAAAATAAAAACGGGCCAGGAACACTGGCTCATGGCTGTAATCCCAGTACTTTGGAAGGCTGAGGTGGGCAGATCACTTGAGGTCAGGAGTTTGAGATCAGCCTGGCCAACATAGTGAAACCTGTCTCTATTAAAGATACAAAAATTAGCTGGGAATTGTGGCTCATGTCTGTAATCCCAGCTACTCAGGAGGCTGAGGCACAAGAATTGCTTGAACCTGGGAGGTGGAGGTTTCAGTGAGCCGAGATTATGCCACTGCACTGCAGCCTGAGTGACAGAGCAAGACTCGATCTCCAAAAAAAAAAAAAAAAAAAAAAAAGTAACAATTGCACCTTTTTCTCTGGGCTCTGCGTTTCTTCTCCCCTTTCCGGCACCCTATCAGAAGCTGTGTAGGATCCATGCCACAGCAGGCATGTGTGTGCACAGGGGCTCTGGGTCCAGCACGGAAGCAGACTGGGGCCACATGCCCACATCTCCAGCCAGCCACTGACACTGCCAAGTCATTGGTGTTGGGGTGGGCACAGTAATGCACAAAAAAGCTCAGGACTCACCTAACTTTCTGAGCTGGCTCCTTCCCTGCCAGTGACCCTCCCATACTGACAAAACCCACAACTAAGTGAGCACTTTATAACCTAAAGAAATTGAGACTAAGAGGGCAACTTACTTGATCAGTGTCACAGTGCCACAGTGACCCAGTGGCAGAGCCTAGGTCTCAAAGCAGGAGCTCTTAACCTTTACCACCAGCTGATAAAATAGAAAGCTCAGTGGCTCCTCCACTGTCAACATACCTCTCCCCACAAGGCCCTTCAGACACTGACAAGCACCTATTTCCATCCGGAGTCACCCAGCTGAGATCACACACGTACACCCAAATGCCCTAGACCCAGCCCCTCCTCAGGCACTGGACAGATCCTCATATATGCAAATACAGGGGATTAAACATATGTGGACATTTATATCAACGAGCTATTCATTTACCGAGTTCCACTAGGGGTGGAAGGCAGGAGGAAAGAGATGGAAACATGCTCTCCCTTCCGACGAGGCCTGACTCCTATTAGCTGGTAGATCTTGGGTCTGCAGCTTCCCTGTATGTGACCTGAGGCCAGAGGACTGTATTCCATGACCAAATGACTGCAATCAGAACAAATGCGGAACAGGATGGGGAACAGGGAATGAGAGTTGAGAGATTCTCACACACACACACACACACACACACACACACACACACACACACACAC